AGAGAATCAATAATTGTGTTAATGTGCTTTCATAGTTAAATGTTTATTTTGCCTTAATTTAAACAATCAGAACACCAAGAACTTTTTGATTTTTTTATTAGCATATTTGGTAGCTCAAACATTTTGACCTGTTGGTTTCCTTTTTAAGTAAATTGGCAAAAGACAGTCCTGTGAATTATCTTTTAAAATTTTACTCAAGTAGGAGGTTGGGATAAAAGAAAAGTACACCCACACTTGTAGAATGTATAGGGCTGGTGAGGCAGTGACACAGAAGAGCTACTGTGTCTAATTTATTAGTGCTAACTTGTTAAACAGTTTTTGTAGACCTCTAAATATGATTTTGTTTATTGTTTTTATATTTGAGCTTTTTCCTGGGTATTTAAAACCTCTAACTTCACTAATTATAAGACTTTAAGATTGCTTTCTTATCTTTAATAGAATTTGCCACATATTTGCAGTTATTAACACTATCTTCATTCTCAGGATTTTTTCTCAATTCAGTAGTTACTAGATTTCTGACTTATACTTCTAGCTTTTATGCAACCTAATTGTAGGTTTTTCTTTGAAGATATGGTATGTGTTTGGGTGATGAAAATACATTTCTAGAAATTGAAGGAAGAACAAATAAAAGTAAATTATTATTGCTTCTATAGCAAAATTTGTTAATTTATTTTATTCAGAAGTCATCACACTACTGTACTATAGAAGTAATGAATCTGTGTATTGTATTAATTTTTTTTTTTTCAATCAGTGAAACAGCAGTATACCAGAATCTTTTTGAGGGGTTTCCTACCTCCTGTTTCTACAGCTTTAGTTAGCTTCACTGTTTGTGACAAGTTTGAGTAGAAATATTATTAAAGATAAAACTGATAGCCTGATGGTGATATTCCCAGTGGAACATTCATTCAGTTAGTGTTTTGTTTTGGTTTGTCTGTCTTCTGAGACAGGGTCTCACCATGTAGTTCAGGCCAGTCTTGAACCCACTATGTATGTATCCTAGGCTGGCCTGAGGAATTTGCAGTGATCCTCCTGCCTAAGCAAGTTAGTAGTGTTTAAGAGCAAATAATGTTTTCTGCATTGGGAGCAAATTGTTTCTTAAACAGGTTCCAGTTACTGTGTATACAATGAATGTTTCTGAAAGGAAAAAATATATTTTTCAAAAATTACAAGTAGGAATTTTTGTTCTTGCAATGGAAATAATAGTACTCTGCTCAAGTCTGTGCCACTTGAGAGTCAGTAAAGGTTTAATGTAAAGTATTCAAGAAGTTTATGAGGAGACAAGGTTAATAATCTTAAAGGAAAATAGAATGCTTTGCAACAATAAAAAGGAGTAAAATAGTTTAACATATACATTGCTATCAAGACATTATTTTCTTCTTGTGGGCTGTTCCCTGCAAGAAAGTGTAACTTGAAATTCAAGGGTATTGTATCGTAGTTAGTCACTGTTTTTAAAAGAGGTGTGCTTCGATTGACACAGCATGACAATTAATGTAATATTACTTTTTTAGTGTACTGTTTACAATTCCAAGCATACTTTTCTGAGTTATTAGTGAAGATAGTTTCTGGACTAATTTTAAAGGCTGTCTTTAAAAAATAAATATTCACACTGTATATTTTAATGCTGGTTTGTATTCTTAGAATAGGATGTCATGTTGGAAAGAGTAGTTTTCTACCATTTTTCCAAATATTAGGTCCCCTCTTACTGTCATATTTAGAAAAAAATTGTTACATATTTTGTTTTGCTTGCATATATCTTTTCATTTCATTTGGCTTTCTTTCTCTGAGCATACTTTACATCTTCATTCAAACATCGTATTCCATCAATATTGGAAAACTCAAGAAAACAAAGCTAATTTTTGATAATGTGTGGATGTATCTTAAGTAGATATGATTTCAGTAGATGATAAAACAGAAATATAGGTCATTTAAAGAGGATAATTCCGAGTAAAAGGATCTTCAGAGAGTCAAGCCTAATCTTGTGGCTACTGTCTTGTCTTTTTATAGTTGTTCCTGTATAGCTAAGCTCATGGTTTCTCTGAAAGCTTAAACTCAATTGTTTTTCCTAACTACTCCCATTATATTAATTAACACTCAGGATTCTTGGGGTAAGTGAATAGAGCAAGACTGAAGCCTTTGGTTTTTTTGTTTTTGGGGTTTTTTTTAAATCGTTTTGTTTATTAACTCTATTGGCTGAATCTCTGAAATGTGAGTCCTGGCCACTGAGAGCTTGAAAATACACAATTCATGGCCAGATTTTAAGCTGCAGGGCTGTTGGATGAACCCATTCAGTCAGTGGTCAAATGTTTGCTGTTTATTGATGGCATAAAGTAGTTTGATACTCCTGGATTACAAGCTGTTCACTATGTAGCTCTTCGCCTGTGTCAGCAGTTTTAACATTAAATGCTTACATACCCTAGGCATGTAATGTAACGGGTAGGAACAGGACAGTTAGAAATCAGAGCTCCCACTCTTACCCACCAATTACTGCCATCTAGGAATGCTGACCCAAGTGTTGCTAAATCTTTTGATTTTTCAAAAATTAGAAATCTATATTTTTACATGTAATGTCTCAATTCTGAAATATTGGTAATTCAGAATGTCTGGGTGAGAAACTGCAAAAATGGTATAAGCCAAACACAACATGTCTGGGGAATTTATTGCCATAAAGAGTAAATGAAAAACAATCCTCTCCCATAGGGAGTTTTAATTCTTTGTAATTCCACCATGGTATGTGTGCTTCTCTGACCCTCATTTCACGCCTACAACTCTCCTGAATGGCTCTGGCAAGAAGGTTGTACAAATGACTACCGTTGAAAGGGAAGGGAAGCAACTCAGGCTGCTTTGGCACTTTTTATTTTTTAAGTTTGTTAGGGCATGTGGTATATAATGTTTACATTTCTTGTTGGAAGTTGGTACTTGTACATAACACATCTGAATTCCTTTTTTCATCCCTTTTCCCTTCCCTTCACACCCTACCCCCTCCCCCTCCACCCATCCCTTGATCTTCCCCTTGTTTAAAAAACCAAAAAGATTCCTAAGGTACCTAACTAGTAGATAATGTAGACATCTCTTACTGTCCTTAATGGCCTTGCATTTCTGTACCTTTCTGTGCTTTATCTACCCATACATGTCAGTTTTGTTGTTGTCCTGGAAAAACTTTGTTACAATAAGCCAAAACACCAAAACAGGTACAAATGCTAGAAAATTAGTTTCAATGGGTAAATATTTTAACTAAAAAAATTTTTTTTGAGACAGAGTCTCATTATGCAGTTCAGGCTGGCCTTGAACTCACTGTGTCACCCAGGCTGGCCTTAAACTGTGGCAGTCCTCTTGCCTCAGCCTCCAGAGTGCTGGGATTACAGGCCTGCGCCATCACACCTGGCTGAAATATCTTGATATACATATTTAAAATAATAAAAGATATATTTAAGCCACATTTTCTAAACCCTGAGCTATATTTTTTCCTTTTTTTTTTTTTTTTTGGTACGGGGGATTGAACTCCGGTCCTTGTGCTGCGAGCGGCGAAACCACCGAGCTAAATCCCCGTCCCTCTTTTTTCCTTTTTTAACATTTGGCTACACAGGGTGCTAACAGAAATTAACCCATAAGCCTTTGAAGTATTGAGAATCATGAGCAGCAAATATATTTTCATTGTGAAAGTTACACAGATTGTTTTGTCAGTATTCTAATTTCCCAGAACTATATACAAGGTTGATTTATGACTATTTCAGTGGAAGATAGAGCAGAGCAGATAACACTAGCTTGCAACAATGTTCAACTGAAAGTTAAATGATTGAAGTTTAACAATAATGATGTTAAAATTAGTTTTTTAAATGTCAGTTCTAGGCAGGCATGATCCTGTAATCCCAGCACCCGGGAGGCTGAGGCAAGAGGATCACTGTAAGTTCAGGGCCAGTCTGAACTACATAAACAAGACCCTGTCTCCAAAAAATAAAACAATTAAAAAAAACATTTTAGGGGCGTGGCCAGCGGCCGGGCTGGGCAGCGGGGGTCCGGAGCTGGTGGGTTGGGGTCCGCCCAAGGCCTCGGGGCAGCTCCGTGGAGAGTACTGGAGTCCCCAAGTCTTCATGTGCCTGCTGAGGCCCGGATTCTCAGGGGCTTGGGCTGCCTCTACCCCAGGAGCCAGGGCGGTACAGGCCTGGTTCTTGGGGTGCGGGAAGCCAATGGGCGCGTTGACGGCAACTGCCTTTCAGCCTGGGTGCTCTGCCTGTGCCTCTGCCTCAGCCCTTGAGGTCCACTGCGGAGGAACCTGAGGCCCAGGCGCAGCCACTGCCCAAGGCCGGGCTGCACAGGCTTGGCATCCCACCGCCCCATGCACATCCTCAGCTCCTGTGTCTATGGAGGGCTGCAGAAAATGTCAGAGTTACTTTCCAAGATCAACAAAAGTTGAACAAATTTGCGCAGAATACGTGCAGAATCACAGAGCTGAAGGAAGAAATAGAAATGAAAAATAACTCCAGAATTTAGAACATGCTTGTGATATCATGCTTGCAGATGGTGGATGACAGGTTAATGGTACCTTACCAAATTGGTGACGTTTTCATTAGCCATTCTCAAGAAGAAACACAAGAAATGTTAGAAGAAGCAAAGAAAAATTTCCAAGAAGAAATTGATGCCTTAGAATCCAGGGTAGAATCAATTCAGCTGGTGTTAGCAGATTTGAAAGTTCAGTTATATGCAAAATTTTGCAGCAACCTAAACCTTGAAGCTGATGAAAGTTAAACATTTTATAATACCTTTTAAAATTGGTTTAATAAACTTGAATTTTGTTTAAAATGATAATTTTCCTTCAAATGACATGGAGAGGAAAACTTTCTTTTTTTTAAAGTTTTCATTTAGTGGAAACTTGCCTACTTTCACATGTACTGCTTATTTTATATTTTTAAAAGAAGATATTATTCATCTATGTATTTTAATTCTGGGGACTTTATGTCATGTTATTAAAATGAGTTAATCTTCATTTTAATCTTCTCTCATAGTGCACTGGGTGTGGCTTGTCTTCCTGCAGTTGGACAAAGAACCACATAGATGAAGCTCAATGTGGAGAAAGTTTCAGGGGATATAACAGAGCCCTGGGTACACGCCAAAGCTCCCACTTGATCCTAACTTTCTACATTAAACGTGCCAGTCTGAGGAAACCAAGGGTTATGTTTGGTAATGTCTTGTAAAATACGAGAAAGCCATTGGGTACTGACTTTAGTGCCAAATTGGTGCTCCAATAAAGGGACATAACATTGTACTTCAGTTGAATTTTTCTCATAACCCTGGTTGAGAAAAAGTTTTCCATGAGCACTTATTTTTGTTTTCATGCTGGCCGGCTCACTGGTCTCTGCTTCAAAACTCTCCGTCATTTATTCCCTTTACCTTCTGCTCAGGTTGATCTTTCCCGGTCAGGTCCCTCCCTGTTGGGGCACCACTTGTAGGAACCGGCCTAAGAGCTTATTCCCGACCAAATGAGGTGAATAAGGATGAAAGACAAAAGTCACAAAGATAATTTGGAATGAGGGGGCTAGGGGGCTCTTTGCCTCTAGTGGACAAAGAGCCCTGAGCGTTTGGCTCACCTTCCTTTTATTCACTTAGACATAGGAACAAACAATTAGATCAATAGAAGATTCATCTGCTTCTTGTTATCTAGATCATGTACCCAGGTAAACATCCATATCTCAGCTGTATGGACTCTTCTTAGGAATTTGTAATGTGCTTGCATCCCTGCATCTTGCCAAAGGTGGCACAGCTTGCTGTTTTTCTCCTTTGTGCTTGCAGAGAAGGTCAGCTAGGCCTCGATCCTCATTATCTGGTCTTCTACACATGGCAGTATTTAAAGCTACATCATTCTTTTTCAATATAACATGTCATAGCATGGACATACCATAATTTATGAAAGTAAATTTTCACATTTAGGTTATTTTCAGTGTTTTGGATTACAGGTAGTTTCATAGTACCCTTAACAGTAGTCACCCCTTATCCATGATTTTGCTTTCCACAGCTTTAGTTACTCATGGTCAGCTGTGGTCTAAAAATATTAAAATAGAAAAATTGTAGAAATAAACAATTGAAAACTTTTTTGAGCTGTTCTGAGCAGTGTGATGAAGTCTTACAGCTTCCTGCACCATTCCACCTAGGATGTGAATCATCCTTTTGTACCTTGTATCTATACTGTGTATGCTACCCACTCCTTAATCACTTAGTACCCATGTGTGTTATTAGATCAGCTTTCCTGGTAGTGCAAGTGTTCAGTTTTAACCCTTATTTAATAATGACCGAAAAGTGCAGTGCTAGTGATGCTGGCAATTTCGGTATTCCAAAGGGAAACCACGTTGTACTTGCTTTAAAAGGATGAAAGTTCTCTACTTAATCAGGAAACGAAAAAACGTCCTTATGCTGAGTTTGCTAAGATCTATCTTGAGAACAAATAATGGGACCCTTGACTTACAACTTGATCAGTTTCCGAAGGCTGGTTGTAACTAAGTTAATAACAGCTGAGATCTGAATGTTTGGGTACACGCTATAGATGACAAGAGGAGGGAGAATCGTCCATTAACCTAATTAACCCAAGTTGTTACATATGTCAGGCCGGTCATAACTTGAGGGTCCACTGTATTCATAAAAGTGTGGAAAAAGAAGTTTGTGCTGTTTTTGCCATCATACCTCAGATTGGGAAAGTTTTGGCTGTAGTGCATGATAAGTGATTACTTAAGGTAAAAAAAATGCATTAAATTTATATGTGCAGTTTAGGCAAAAAATCCACTGCAGTTTATTCTTGGAATATGTTCTGTGTGTAAAAAGGACTACTATAGAACAATGTTTTTGCACAGATGTGGCAATGTTTGGTTTCGATTGTATCCTATGAACCAGAGTTTTTGATTTAAAGTGTATATCCATGTAAAATGGACATTGCCCAATTGACCTCCAGAAGCCTCTACTAATAAAGCATTAGTTGTATTTGAAGTTTTATAATTTTTGGCAGTTTGTGGAGTGGAGTGGTTGCTCTTTGTTACTTTTAATCTTTATATTCTGATAACTGGGGGGATTTGAGAATTTCTTTTTCATAGACATAACATTTGGCAAGGGAGAAGTCTTGGAATGTAAAACACAAACTTAAAAACCATTAAAGACACATTGACAGATTTGACTAAGAAACACTTATAACTTCTTTATGGTGGAAAACATGACTAAAAGGCAAGCAACAGACTGGGAGAAAATGTTTGCAATGTAGTTTTTATATTTTGGGAGCATAATTTATCATAGGATGAATTGCAGTTTCTTCTTGTGACTTTTGCTATGCATGTCGAGGTCTAATAAGATACTACAGTAGGGGCCGGCATTTAGCTCAGTGGTTCCACCACCTGCCTCGCAAGTGCAAGGTCCAGAGTTCAATCCCCCGCACCAAAAAAAAAAAAAAAAAGGTACTGCAATAGTCTAATGCAGTAATTCTATGACTTTTAAAAAGTAAGTATGTCTAGATGCAATTTTTATGGTTATATTTCCCCTCAGTAAAAATACCTTTTTTATAATTCATATAAAATTCCAGTTATTTGATAATAGGTGGTAATGTGCTTTCATGTGTGTTATAGATTCCATTATGCATTATGTAATTTTGCACAAAAAGAGGTATTTTATACCCACCCCCCAGTTCTGCGGATTAAACTCAGGACCTTTGCATTGAACTACATTCCTAGCCATGTATTTATTTATTAATTTTTTGAGAAGTCTTGCTAAGTTGTCCAGGCTGAGCTCAAACTTCTGTCTCAGCCTCCCAGAGTGCTGGGATTACAGGCATATACCACCACACTCAGCTTGTTATTAATTTTTTAATCATAAATACTCATCCAGATAGCCTAACTCCTATAGGAACCTCTTATTAACTTAGGTTTGTGCTTTTCCATGATTATTTTTAAGCTCCTATAAACCTGTACACACATATAGACACACATGAAGAAAATGCCTTTATAAGTTCTGGTTTTTCAGAATTAGGTACTTAATTGCATTTAATTTTTCAGTAAATAATGGCTCGTGTGATTCTTCCTGTTGCCTATGTAATATTCCATAGAGTCACTTTGTCAGAGTTTATTCATTATCTACTGATGAATATTTACTTTGTTAACAGTTTTTGACCATAATGAACAAGTATTATAATATAGGTTTCTGAATTTTAAGTTCATATGTATTAGTATTTTTATTGCAGTATTCAAGGTCCCAGAGATCTTACTGAATAAAGAATAGATTTTACTGAGAATGAGTTCTATGACCGTTGTGTTAGGAGTCTTTAAATAGAACATACTAAATATGAGGAAAGTTTTAAGTGCTAATTTATCTTAACAAAATTTAGGAAATGAAATGAGGATGAGAGATAAAACATTTTAAAGGCCTAATTATAGAGGAAGTAGGTGAAGATGACCAGAGGAAATATTATTCTTCTAAGGATATTAAGGAGTAGGAGGGATAAGCAGGGAGAAGTGAAGCATGGGAAATTCAATATGGGCAACTTATGTCTGGAGAAAGTATAGTATTCATTATTAAAACAAAAAATTAGGAAATTAGGACCTCTAATAAGTGTGAAAACAGTAAAAATAAACTTGATAGCACAAACATGAAAAGAGAAAAGGGGAAATAAGTGATAAATATGGGAGGAATAAAATATCCATTCTTTAAATGTTGATCTGAGTTCATTCTTAGAGATCAGAATTGCTGTTCATGAGGATTTTTTTTTTAATTTTTGTTTTTCAATGCTGAGTACTGAACCCAAGGCTTCATGCACATAGGTAAGCTACCACTGAGCTATATCCCCAGCTCAGTGCTATATCTTAAGAAATTAGAAAAACCCCTGGCTTTGTGGTACATGACTGTAACTGCAGCACTCTGGGAGGCTGAGGCAAGAGGATTGCAAGTTCAAGCCCAGCCCAGTGTAGGCTACTTAGAAAAAAAATCAGGAGAATTAATACAGATAAAAGAAATTTATGAAACAGGAAAATTAGAAAGGATTAAAAGCTTAATGGAGTCTTTGAAAAATAGTTAAATTCTTAAGTAATTACCCAGGTGCAGATCTGACCTAGTGGGAGATAAAAAGACAACAAAAATAGACAAAATCAGTAATGAGATGGCATAATTACAGATTTAGAGAACCAAAAATTTTTAATTTAGCTGGGCATTGTGACACATGCCTGTGATTCCAGCACTCTAATCCCAGCATTTGTGAGGGTGAGGCAGGAGGATCATTCTGAGGCCAGTCTGGACTACCTAGGGCAGTGTTGACAAACCTTTTAGTGTTCAGGGATGACAAATAGCTTGCTGCAACACGTGTGCCGTAGATTCAGCACCATGAACCAAGGGAGACCCTTTCTCCAAAAACAAAACCAGAGTATAATGTATATGCTGCTCTATGGCAACAGATTTGAAACCTAGAATAAATGGTGGATTTCCATATAAAATATAGAATTCTAAAATTGAATAAAGTGGTATCAGAATAGACTAATTTTGTGTTTGTTTCACTTTGTTGCCCAAGCTGGCCTCAAACTTCTGGATTCAAGTGATCCTCCTTACTCAGCCTTGGAGTATCTGCAACTACAGGCTCTCAGCTCTTGTTCTAGTTTTATAACTGTTATTGGCCACAAGAATGGAATTTTCTAAAGTTCACCTTATGAACCCAAAATAAATTTAATATAGAAACCTAAAAGATCCAAACATAGTATGGAAACATTTAAATAAAATATTAGAAAATGGAATCTAGCACTGTATTAAAAAAAATCACGGTAGGAATCATAGATTGGCTCTGCCTAATGTATTATTGCCTGTATAATTATAAATACAAATCCCATCCAGTAGATGCCAAAATGGCATTTGGTAAAATTCATCCACCATTCCTAATTTTTAAAAATCCCTATAAAATAGGAATAGAAGGAAATTAAAATAATAAAGGAAACTAATAGGAAGTTATTTTAAATGACAAAGTACTGGTAGGGGTACCTGTTGTTCCATTATTCAGTATTTGTTAATGCTTTGAGTCTAAGTGAAAATTTGAAGGATATGGGCACTATATAAAAGAATGGTGAAAGAGGGATTTGTCTGTCTTATGTTGTTATGGGGAAGCCACACACGAGTAAATGCAGTTGCTCAAAGTTAGTTAACTACAGTAACCAAAGATTGAACCCCTGGTTTAGGGGAACTTATTATTTAACTAAACTATGGTAACTGAATCTTGTTCATATCAGAACTATTTTGTTTGTTTTGGGGGTTTTTTTTCCTCTGGTACAAGGGATTGAACTCAGGACTTTGCACTTGCAAGGCAGGTGTGGCACCACTGAGATAAATCCCCCGGCCCTCAGAATAGTTTAAAAGCAAAAATTTTCCCATATATGTAGCGGGTGCACATGGAGACACACACACACACACACTCAAAATCTTGCAGGATAATCTGGGAGACTATGTGTTCCAGGATTCTGAGATATCTTCCCAATACAGGCTAGAAACCCAGAAGGTATAAAAGGAAACTGAACATATTTCCTTTTACAAAATTGAAAAAAATAAAGTCATTAGGCAAAACAGTTGTTATGGTTTAGATCTAGGGTGTGTCCCCCAAAAGCCTCAAATGTTCAGAGGTGGGGCTTTGGGAAGGTGATTAGATTATGGGAGAGCTAGCTACAGCTGGCTTTCTGTTAACAGGTGGCATCTGGTTGGAAGAGGTCTGTCACTGGGGGCAGCTTTCTTGCTACCTTGAAGAGAGCAGCTTATCTCCATGCCAGGCCTTTCCACCATGCCATTTCTGCATTTGAGCCTGACCATGCACCTGTCCTCTCTTTAAGTTGTGGATGTTGGTTATTTTGTCTCAGCAATAAAGAAACTAAAACAGCAATAGGTCCAGACAGTTATAAAAATGGTGATGGGAAAAAAAAATGGTGATGGAATCAGGTGCAGTCCACAATCTCTCAGCACTGGGGAGGCAGAGAGGCAGGAGGATCTGGCTTCAAGGCCAGCCTACGGTACCTAGTAAGTTTCAGGCCAGCCTGCCCTGCATAGTAAGATCCTGTCTATCTCAAAGCAAAGAAACTAATGAACAGAAGAAACTGGTGATGTTTAAAAAGTTGATTTCTCTGAGATATAAAATTTGAGTGTAAAGAAAGGAGCTAATCAACATGATAAAGAACTAGGTAGAAAAATAGTTCGTGGAAGAACAAAACCAAGTCACCAGTGAAAAAAGGAGGTCAGATTCATTATTAAAGAAATAACAAATTAAAGAAACTATTGAATGTAAATGGACCATGTATCACTTTTATGAAAGGTAATATCAAGAAAGGTTATCTCATACTTTGGTGGAAATGAGAAAGCAAACTTTTGGGAAGGCAATGGCAGTGTGGCCAGCAAAAACAAATCTGTCAGTGAAATAGTGTATGTCTGTTTGCTTTGTCCTAGCAGTTGCTGCTTTTTGGAAATGCACCTTGTAGTAGAAAGTTTACTACTTCAATTAACCATGGGGATGGTAGCATAAATGTCTTTGAAAGCTGAATATAGTTTGGGGATAACTGATTATTATCATTAGTCCATATTTTAAAAAGCATCAGTGTACAACCTTTCAGCTTGCCTGAACCTCATTGAATGGTAAGGAATTGTCTTGGGCCAAATATCATTATGTCATGGTACTTATTGTGAATTACTTACAAGAGCCTTATGAGTAGCAAACAAATTATTTGCCTGGAAAGGGTAGTGAATCATGAGGCAATCAGTTGACACCAACAAGTTCTAGCTTGCTTGAATGTCAAGTGCTAGACATGACGCTGGGACAAAATTTTTGAGTCAAAATGCATTGATACCATATTCAATGAGTTTCATAGTACTCAAGTACCAAGCCTTGACTGCAGCTAATGTACATAAGTAACAACTTCCTTTTTTCAAAAGTTTTCATTTATAACATTAAAAAAAGATGGCAGCAAATATAAGACAATTGAAATAGTTTG